AATGAATGAGTAAATGAACAAATACATGCTACTGTCAAGAAGAAGGATTTAAAAAAAATAGTGAATGGCAGAGAGATTATTCACCTTTGTGTTCAGCAAAAGCTGGTTTAAGTAATCTAATTCTAAGATTTTATTAATAAAGATTTATGCATATTGGATTCATATCAAGAGTTTTGTCTTTAACTGCTTCTCTGGAGTAAAATATACTTATTTTTGAAACAGGTAAATATTAGTATCAAATTTAATTTTTAACTATAAGTCTCGATCATACTAATAGATAATAAAAATATAGGGAATTTTCTTTCTTCTACTTCTTTTTTTTTCTCCCCACTTTATTTCAGGAAAGTAAATGAAATAGCAAAAAATTTAAGAAAAATTTTGGCATGGTTAAGATAGAGAAGTTATTATTTTATTTAAAAACAAAAATATCTGAAGTAAAAAGAAAACATACAACATGTTTTTAAAGTAATATCCATGTTTTCTGTTTTTATATTTTTGAATAATAGAGTTTTATTAAATAATAAAATTTGAATAATAATCTTTTTACCCTTTTCTAGAAAAGAGACTCTGTTCTTATTATGCATATGAATGCTAAATGATGTAATACTGCTTGCTGTCTTTTGGAGACTTTCCTCTTGTTAGTGCTGCTATCCCATTTGACTGTAACCCTGTATAATCTGTAAAGAATGTTCTTAGTCATGGGCCTTCACCTTCCAGTGATTTCATCCAGATACAGTTTCCATAGGCTTTACTGGTTTAAACAGAAGAAAAGAGCAGACCATCTGAACAAAATAAAATGTCACCATTAAATTGGTTTTTGTAGCTTAAGGTATAGTGTAATGATATTTTTCCAGCAGCTGCTTTCAGTTGGACTTAAAGTTTAGAAAGAGCTTTGCACTGATACAAAATAATAAAGTGCAGGTTGTGTTACTTCCTTCTTTTGTGTCTCAAAGCATAAGGAAAGTTTTTGTGCTTTTACATGGTCACTGATAATCATTAAGAATTTTTTGTTAACCTAAAGCATTGCCCACATGTCCATATGTGAAAAGTGCTTTTGGAAAAAACTAAAAGCACTCTCTCTTTTAATAATTATGACTGTAACTTGAATCACTTTCCATTATTTCTCACTTAAAATTGCTTCCTTTTATAAAATGGTTCAATTACTTATGTAAAACGAGATGTCTTAGTGATAAATTTGTTGTTGTTATCAATAGGTAAGAAGTTCTTACCTATAATCACAGTAATTAATTTTATTTTCCAAGCATGCTGATGGTTGATTTTATTTATGAAGAATATAAACTTAAAAAAATACAAACATAAAAGTAATCTAGATAATAACTATCTGTGCCAGTAGTTTTCTTTTTTAATTACTAGTGAAATAAAAAGGATGAAAAGGAAGAAAAGCATATTGAATATTCCAAACAAAAAAAAAAAATAAAGCGGAAGAGTTTTCATTGCTTCTCAGTAGAGTGAATGAATTGTCACCATTTACTAAATTCACTCTTAAATAATCTGACCAATATTGGAAAAAAAATATGAGATTCATTAAGTGCTTGAGATTTCAATATACTTAAAATTCACGAATAGTTCATAAATCTTCTATTGTTTCTATTGTCAGAAGTTTCGAGGTCAAAATTAAATATGGAGAGGTGTTTTCCAATTATACAATGTCCTTATCATATCTTGTTTTTATTTTTCATTAATTTGGCCAAGTTTATGTTCTTAATCACAAAAATATTTTATCCTAGATTAGAACTAGGCTGTGTGACAGAGTATTTCTGGAGATACATACGATCCTGTGAACAAAGAAGACAGTTAACAGTTGTCAAACATTCTTCCAGAAACAGGCAGGAGTGTTGCTCAGTGGTAGAGAGTTTGCCTGATATGAGCAAGGCCCCGGGTTTGAACCCCAGCTCTAAAAAGTAAAGATAGACAACAAAGATATATAAATAAACTTCTGGGAGGAGAGATGATGGGAGAGTACAGACTGGGTCTTGGTAGGTGGGTCTTACATTGCTGTGACACAATATAAGATATCAGAACGAAGCTTTGGATGAATTTAAGAGAAGATTACCAGTTGATGCTAAAAATATGAGGCTCATAAATGGACAGTAGTTGACATTTACTCATAGTATAAACAAAGTTCCATAAAACACAAATTCTAGAGCCCTTCCCTAGTTATCTTTTGTTTTTAACACTTCTTATTTAGCAATATTTCTTAGCAAAAGCTCTACAAAAAGCACCACAGGAATAAAAGTAGGCCCAGTCTAACCTCCTCCCTGTTCACCCATTAGGTTGGTTAAGATTTTAATTCCTTTTCCTTATAGACTGCACTTTTCATAATTGGATTTCACATATAATATTATTTGGGTCAGAGGGAAAAATAGATTATGATTCTCTACTGGCTTGCAACCAGTAAAGATGGGAACACTGAGAGTAGACCTAGGGAAAGAAAAAAGAAAGGCCTATTTTAATTGGCCTTCCAAAGAGCACGTAACAAGATTGAAATGGGGAATTAACATGTTTTAATTGTGTATTCCAACAAAAACTCTTGAGGTTCACAACCAGCAATACACAAAAGAGAAACCGTTTTCTCAAGTCAGAAAGACACAGAAATTAAATTGTTTCCCACTATCTTTTGTAATGTGTCTTTTCTGCCAGGGTCACAAAGAATTAATGCTTAGGAGTGGCCTTGCAGGCAAACTGATATTAAACTATTTTGTTTTTTCCCCAGTGATATTTCTTTTTTAGCAATCAGTGACTACTTGACACAGTATCACTTTAAAAGGCTAACAGTTTTTCTGACTCATCATATTTATTTTTCCCTTATTAAAGAGACACATAAAGCTTTAAAAAGGTGCAAGGAAATCCCTAAAGGACAATCTTTAGGTATCTTTTTTCAGTGCAAGATTTTGAGTAAAATTTTGAAAGTGTTGCTTAATGTAATATATCTCATTTTTCCATAGCACAAATGAAAAAAAATCTATGCAGGAAGAATAAAAAGAACTTGAAATCTACAGTGATATTTTTTTTTAAAAAAAGAGTAAAGCTTAGATTTTTAGAACAATAATTCCTGTCTTTTGAAGGATAAAAATAGAAATTGTGTTAGCAACCTATCCCAATGGTTTTATATCCTCATGAGAGAAAGAGGCAATGGAAGCGTTATGAAATCTACACCAGCAATTGCTAGAGTGCAACAAAGTCCCCAACTCCCCCAGCCAAGAAGAGACGGCAAAACCATCCATATTTCTATGCACACTTTTTTTCCCCTCCTGGTTTCTAGGGAAACATGCTTTTATACATAAGACTGACTTGGGAAATCTTTTTTTAGATCCCCTGTTCAAATAAAAATTGCTGCTTATAATTGTGAAGAGCATACTAGGATTAGTGGACCTCCAAATCACCTGACTCTCAGGTTTTCCCTTCATATCTTAGGTTAATGCCCCTGATCATTATTAATTGCAAAATAAATTTAATTTAATCGAGTTTTAAGAGACTAACTCAATGAACAGTAGTAAGTAGCTCTGGGGATTACTTAACCTCAAATTAAGTGCCCAATGTATAATAAAATATTAATATATATGGCCACAACAGTAAAAAAAAAAGTGTGCCAAAGTACATGTGTGATTATATGTCCATATAATTAAAAAAGATAAAAATGGTAAAACTGTTCATGAGCTGAGGAAAGGCTAGCCTGGAGTCACGGACTATAATAAAAAAGCATGAGCTCTATTGCCTTACTTCCTCAGTCGAACATAGGCCTCAGGAATATGCAGAAATTTTGAGAAGGGCTTTGGACCTTCATGAAATACAGATTTAGGGCAAGGAGGAGCTTAGATAAATCTGTAGACATTAAAAACATTTTGATTATTTACAAAATTATTAGTGTTTTGCATTTCTGTTGTTCAGGAAGCTGTCAATGCTGGTTCCAGTTTTCAATTTCTATGTTGCTTGTCTTTCTTTCTCATCATACTTGCCCACCTTTTTTCAGATAAACCTTGCTCCCCCATTTATATCAGATTCAATGTAATAGTTGTCAGATTTCAAAATACCTTTAAATATGTTAGAGTTGAGTAAATTTTTTCTGTTAAAAACAAGCTTTCATGCCACAAAAAGATGATATAAAGGTATGAACTCAATCAGATTCTACATTTGAACTTTTAACATGACACACTTCATCATATTAATTCAGAGGAACATAAGTCTAGTAAGCCAGAGCTATAAAAAAATTTATGTCAGTATGTTATGGTGGAGAAAGATAAATTTCAAACTTAATGAAATATTGACATTGAAAAAATACCTTTCCAAAGTGGCAGATGATATAACTAACAACAGCTCTTAATACTGCTATCAGTTTAGAGTATTGACAGCATGGGTGTTATAAACCTGAACTTTGGATTTAAACAAGTCTGCATCTAATCCTAGATCTGTCACTACCTCTGGATGTGAACCTGCATAATTTACTTAATTCATCTGAGCTTTTATGTATGCTTTCTTCATAGAGGTATTTAATTTTTTAAAAATTGAGATTTTTTAAAAGAAATAGTTATTTAATGAAAAATGGATTTAATGAAAAAAAATGTGTGGGTAGGTGGGTGAGTAGGTGGGTGGGTGGGTGTATGAGAAAACCTAGGTGGAAGTTCAAGTATTAATTTCCTTCAGCTTATTCCCCCTGAAAGTTTTACTATGAATCTTTGTGTTTAGACACGTCATTATTTTATATAATTATAATTTTAAAATGGATCAAGTCATCTAGAGAGATAAAGGAATTGGGAAATATTAAAAATTCATGTTATCGGTCAAATATAAACAGCAGTAATTTTTATGGGAATGGTTTGGTGTAAATATCTGATCATTTGGGCTCAGAAGAAACTCAGAACTCCCAAACTAGGGAAATAACATTAAATATTGGTTCTAAAAGTAAAATTTTAAGTAAAGAAAAAATTAAAAAGGCAAATATTACCAATACCATCCTATTATGACTCTTGTTTTTTCCATACCTTTATCAAGGAACGACGTACTGTATTCTAGAGATGCACACTGAGGAGGATCTGCTGGAGGCCTGAATCAGTTCAAACCTCGCATGGCTGGGTGCATCCTTTGTGGCAGCAAACGGTCTTCAGCCTCATCTGCCAGGAAGTCGTAGAATCTCAACTCCTTCACTTTCCTTAGCTCTTGGCCTTGGGAAATGACAGTTTCTTTCTGATTTCTCTGAAAATAATACAATATTACAAAAGTGTTTGACTAGAAAAAAAAAGAAGAATGAATCCTGAACTTTCCTTACTGCAGGGAGAGGAAACAGTCTTCCCATTATTTTAAGCTGAGAGTTGATGAAAAGATGCAAACTCTGTATATCAAAGTGATTAATTACTTAGAAATTTCACCTAGGATGGGACCTTCCTGTGGGGTGAAGACAGTCTTTGAGATAAGTGCCTCCAAGTTTGGCTTTCTCAGTGTGGCTGGTTGCTTCCTGGCTGGTGACAGGATTACAGGAAGTAAAGGTGAGATATAGTTATATCATCTGCTTCTCTGCCAGGATTGTCAAGTTCTGGAAGGCAGTTTCCCTCCTCAGATGGCTCTGTCAACGGCTGCTCTTCTCTTTTTCTTTTCTTTTGGAAAAATACTTGAAATCCTTCTGAAATGAGTGCAACCGTTGCTCCTCGAAGCATCTTTTACACTTGACATTTTATCCTCTAGGTAGGTATAATAAGATGGCTCTTTTTTTTTCTCTCCTCAGGAGGTTGAGAGCTGGTGGATCCAGAACCCAAAGGAGAGTAGATTGCTGAATTATTACTGTTTGGCATTTATAAGGTGTGTTTCCTCTGAAGAGTGTGAGGCACATCGTAAAATGTTAATTAATAGCCAGTATTCTTCAGTAGGTCCCTAGAGATAGCAAATGCAGGTGATGATCTGACACCCATGCTTCTACCCTGGGAGTTAGGAAGCCCCGTTCACAGTAAAAATGGAGAGCAGGTACAAAAGACCCTTGGGAATGAACGTTTATATTAGGTTAGAATTGCCCCTCTGTCTAGGGGATCAAACAAATTTGACAAATTTGGAGGTTCAGTAAAGTGAAGGGAAACCCTAACAGAGAGAAAAAAAAATCAATGCAGGTAAGAGAAAAGAGAATGAAGTGGAAAGAATAAGCGGAAAAAAAGTGAGACATTGGTGACATCATTTTTTCTTACAAAGGCCTCAGATGGGCTTCAGGCGCCAGAGTTCTTGCTCCCCCTTTCCCTCAGGAGTGCTGAGTCTCAGGAGGGCTGAGGCTGGGGTTGGGGATGCAGCCCCTCTCAGTCCCTGGTGAAAGTGTATGTGTGTGATTATTTTCTCTTTCTTGTTTTTCTTTTCTTTTCTTTTTTTTAAATCTAGAAATATTCAACCTAAAATTTCCTTGCATTTATGAGTTGTTGGAGAAAAGCAGAATCTGTTTCTGTCGTTGATTTGTTTTTTCTTTCTGTTTATATGTTTGTTTGTCCATTTGGTGTGACCGTGTGTGAATGTGATGAGTAGTTATGCTGTTTTTTGTCGTTGGTTTTGGAGTGGTGGCAGTTTGTTGGCTTGCTATTTTAAGGTTTAAAAACCTCATAGGAAACAGATATCATTTCCTTAAATTCTTTTCTACTTAGCATTTGAGAAAATCTCAAGTGACAGAAGCAGTCATACAGATGTTAGAGCAGATTTTATTGGGTTGAGTGTGCCGCTCAGACCTCTTTTACACATAAAATCAAGATCAAAATGAATTTCAAGAGCAGTTTTTAAGAAAAAAAAAACTTCACGTAACATGCAACCCAGTAGTTTATTTTGCAAAGTGGTGTGTGTCCTTATTTTGTTTTTGTTTTCTGTGGCCTAATGGTTTATGTTATTAGAACTGGGCAGCTACTTTGCTGATAGAGGAGGTGCACAGGTATTTGGGTTTATTACAGAACTGCTGATTATCTGTGGCACTTGTCCCTACTTCAATCCTGACATAACTGTGCCAAAGCAAAAAAGCCTTTCTCCCCTGCTTCTTCCTATTGGAGAGTCTCAACTCTTGGAGTCCTCAAATTTTTTAGCATTAATTTGATGGGCTGCTATTATCTTTTGGTAGGCTTTTCTCTAGTTTTCATATGAATCTATACATGTTGGTAAATATACAATTAAAGTCAGATTTTCTGGAAAGACAATATAAAATTTTCTTAAGTTTTTTTATTCCCCTGGAACCCAAGGATAAAGTGGAGAAAGTTAGTGTAAAAATATTTTCAAGACATCTTAGTTGTCTAAATACAGAGCCAATAACCACGTTAAGGTCTACAAAATAATGCTGCACAGTTCTAAAACTTCAAGTTAGTTTTATTAAATTAGACTGGAAAGCTTAATTGGAAGAATTTCTTAAATTCTTCAATAAATAACACAGATGCCTAATATAAGCTTGGCAATCAGGTGCTCAAGTGAAATATATGAAAAATAAATGAACATAAAATTTCACATCAGGGCTGGGGATATAGCTCAATGGTAAAGCCTTGCCTCACATGTGTGAGGCACTGGGTTCAATCCTCAGCACCACATAAAATAAAAATAAATAAAGATACTGTGTGTTCATCTACAACTAAAAAATATTAAAAAAATTTCACATCAGTACCAGGAGTGATCCTTATGTGCAGTAAATCAAATCGATAAATACCCAAAATGTGGTAGAGTAAAAGTAGAAGAAACAGAGATAGATGAACACTAACTTGTACAATGTCAATATGGTTTACTTGCCTCTTAGTTGTGCTATTAGTATGCCAAATATTTCTCATAATTTAGAGACATGACTGCAATTACTAACTACTAATTGTCTCTATTCAAGGTCTGAAGAAAGAAAGAATAACATTTCATTAGTTTTCCAGGATAGAACCTCTATTATAATTCTTAATATTGTACTAAAGGAAACTCATTCCTAGTTGTTCTTATGCAAGTAATAAGTATTGCAGAAGAGTACCTACCATGAATTTATAAAAAGAAAATGATAATTCAAAGCCACATAATTCAAAACACACCCCTAGTATGTTTACATCACTGTCTCAACAATAGAAATGACCTGAAATATTGTTAAGACAGCACCATTCCTGAAGCAAAGGGGCTTAACTAAATCAAAGCATATGGTGAAGACACCCTGCAAAGACGGAAATTTTCTTCCATGAATTTTCTCAGTTTCCAAGCTACATTTGCATGTATGTTTTATCACTTTGTGTGTAAAGAATGCACAGTGACAGGTCTAGGCTATTTTTGCATATGTATAGAGGTATAAGAATATGGAATATACTTAATAAAAAGTGAAATAGTGACTTAATGTGGTAGTAGGCCCTGAGTATCTTCAAGAGGATCTTTACAGCCTTGAAAGTCCAATTGTTAAAAATGTTTAGAGAGCAACATTTAAAAAGCAATTTCTACTGAAGTCATCGATTTATTGATTTATTCTCAAAACATGTGGTCAATACTGACACTTGACTCACCTTTGAGGAGCACATTCTGCCTGGACTCTCTTGCCAAGTCACCCTCATTATCAACCTTCCTCCTTAGTTAGGTAACCAGAAAATTCCAAGTGAACAGCTAAGCAGCCCTGTGGCCCTGTGTTGAGGTAACATCTTTCTAGAGTTGAAGTCATTGTGTTACACTGATCTGTTTTTCCAGTGAGATTTCACATTTGTTAAAATCTACCTTGAAATCAGCAGTAAGAGAGACCCTCCCTGGCCCTCAGTTGCTCACACCTTCTAGTGTCAGTTCCCTCTGGGACTTAAGAGTGAAACTGAGCACTTTGGCAATTCTAAAAATAATCAGTCCATTAGTATCAAGTTGCTTTCCTGAATATAGCAAGGTGTTCTTTCTCTCTCCCCCACCCCCAACCACCCTCCCAACCTAACCCCAAGATCTATTATGTTCAAACTACAATAGGAACTCTATGGACTTACAATTTTCACTCCAAGGATTGAAGTTATAAAACATAATAGCATATAATGTTACACACAGAACTTTTTGCAACTTTGTAATGTTATTTTACTAAATTCATAGGTAAGTAAATGTAGATCTTGGTGAAATAAAACCATGATATACAATACACAATACATTTGACTCTATTTACTAACATAACATTTTATTATTAATAACATATTATTTTATGTGAAACACACAAAAACATAGAGTTTTGTAGACCAAAAAAGATTATGATAAAGCGAGCTATTTTTATTTCAACAAAATTGGTTATATCTAGTGGCAAGAATACTTGCTAGAAAAAAAATCAAAAGTGTTTTGTTAAAAAAAATCATCATTTATTTATTATAATTTTAACTGTAGATCTAAGACATTCCAAGTAGTATGTATTTTGAAATAACTGGTTGTTTTAAGTGCCTGAAATTAATATTAAATATATTTTAGCATAACTACAGAAAAATATTTCTTTATTGTTCACAAATTTTCAGGATTATGTAGAAAGTAACATGACACTGCTATGATTGTCATCCTTACATAAGATAGCAATATAAAAAAACATTGTCTAGCCTTTATCTTATCAAATATATCCTAACATGCTCCTTAAGATGATATTCCAGTTTCATATACCTCTATGGACACCTGGAAAATTAATTAGAATCCACAGAAAGAAATGGAGTCCAGTGTTTGCTTTCCAAATGCCTTTTTTACAGCCACTCACAGGACAATAAAAACATTCTACTAAGATTCTTTTTCATGCTAAGGAATGCACTGAGTGGGGTCTGTTTTGGGGGACTGTAAGGGGAGAAACCTGGGGTGCTTTAAGGTTAATGGACAGTGATTAAGGTTAATGGCTGAGTGCTTAAGGTTAAGTGTTGTATTTACATAGCTGCCAATTCTCCTAAAAAAAAAAAAAAGTTCTTGTCTATCAATCAGTTTCAGCTAATAGCCAATTAAACAGCAAATGGAGGATACAGACCAAAGGTAAAGACCCTTCAACCTGCATTTATAGGGTATCATTGTGAATTTTCCACAAAGAATATTTATTGAACACCTACTTTGCCATGCATGGCTGTGTTGCACACAACAAAGTAGAAGCCAAGGCCTCTGTGTTGAAAAAACTTGGACCTAAGTATGACAATATCTCAATACAGAAAGCTATCAAATACATCACACAGGTAAGACACATTACATAATCCAGAGCAGGGAAAGATACTACCTAGCTCAAGATTTCATAGAATGGGGAAGGATATTTAAACCAA